AAGGGGAAAAGTTCCGGAGGTTCTGAGCATGAAGTTGCATGGAAACAAATAGCCTCGGGTATCAAGTATCAGGTGGTTGCAGAGGTGACCTAACCATGTTTATGTGTGAGAAAGGGAGCTATGTAGCTCACAGGAGAGCCATGTTTGTACAGGAACCAGCCAGAAGAAACTTGGCTTTTCTGTGAGTGGGCCTGAGTAACAGTCTAGCTAGCTAGAGGATGAAGCATATTGGAATGAGAAGCCAGAATAATATTTTAAGCCTTGAAAAACTGAACACAAAACTAAACTGTGTTCCTATAGATTACTTGCTACACTGTTGTGTAGCAAAATATATTTTGAACTGAAAAACAGAAAGCACCATGCTTATTCCAAGAAAAAAGGCATCTAATAGAAGAAAAAAGGACAAGATTATAATTATTGTTTATCAATTTAAATAGGTAAATTTTCCTTAATACTTATAGAACACAGGAGCAGAATTCATCATTGACAAATATGAGACATTTTCAGTTTGGGATGCCCTTATCAGTCTCTGTAATGGGAATCTATTAGCTAAGAAAAGAAGAAATCATTTTTAACCTGTTATTTATATTATTTCTTCAGCTGTCTGTTTTACTTAGTATGTATTTGATGGGGTCTTGCTACCATACATAGATGTTAAAGAAGCCAGGAATGAGGATAACTCTTTTTTAAATTATCCTACAAAAAATTCAGTTAAAAAATTTCAAACTACCGTTATGCTGTAAAAGGGATCCTGTTCTCATTTTCCTCCTTCCCCAGCTTAAATGTCATTGTCTGTCATTTTAACTACTCTATTGCCAATAATTCTAACCTCTGTCGCCTCATCTTCTTTTCATTAAACCCAGCTGGCAAGGCTCTAACCCTGGATGAATCTAACATCTGTCTTTGCCAGGCCTCCACCTGGGCTGTTGAGTGCTGGTGATGAAAATCTCACAACAGGGCAGATGGATATTGATATAAATGCATGGCTGCACCTGCAAATGGACCCGCGACTTTGGCTAGAAGTCCCACGATGATATTCTGCCAGCTATCTCTTTAATTCTGCCCAAAGCGTGTTTAAAACCTGTAGTCTTTTCAGACATGAAAAGATCTCACTGCTTTCTCCTTCCACTCCTTTCTCCTCACTTACAGAGGTAAACTTTTCTTGTACCTTACAGAGAGAACCAAAGCCATTTGAAAAGGAACTCTTTCAACTTTCACCAAATCCACAGATTCAGATGTACCCATGAAAGAACTGAAAAACATGGCCACAGTATTTTACACTTCCTATTACCGAAAAGTGGAGTATACTTGCCCCTCTTTGAATCTGGGCTGGTCTTATATCTTGCTTTGACCTAAACTCATTCCTCTCAAAGTTGTTCCCATCTCGGTAAATGGCACCATCTTCAGGAGTCATCTCGATTCCTCCCCTTTCTTCCCATCCAACTGAGCAGCAAGTCCCATGCCTACTTGTCTGTCTGTCTGTCAATCTCACTTGCAATCTTATCTCCTGCAATCCATTGTTAACATAGCAGCCAGGATATTCTTTTTAAAGTATAGACCACATCTGGTGGTTCCCTTGCTTACAACCTTCCAATGACTTCCTATTGTCCTAAAAATAAAATCCAAGCCCTTACTATGGTCTAAAAGGCCCTGTATAATCTGGTCCCTGCCTACCTCTTTGTCTTCATCTCACACAACCTCCCCCCTTACTCATGACACTCCTATCAAACAAGACTCCTTTCCCAGCTTAAAGTCTTTGCACTTGCTGTACACCATACATCCACGTGGATTACCCTGATCTGCCACCTTAGCAGGTTTTTCTCCTCATCATTCAGGTCTCACTAAGCATTACCTCAGAGAATCCTTGACCAGCCACCCAATCTGAAGTAATCTCCTCCAGGCTCATTTTCTATCACATTGCTCTGTCTCAGAGCCTTCATGGTACTTAGAGCTTTCTCCCTTCTCCTGTGAGTCCCCACCCCATCTTCCTTATCCCCCTGAATGAAGGAGCTCTCATATTCTTATATGACCCTGCCCCCATGGGCACACTTTGTGGGTCCAGGAATGGGCCCCTGACCTAGCTGGATCAGAGCCCTTCCTGTGATTTTTAGAACCAGAGTTGAGAAACAGAGTCAATTCTTCTCTAACGATAGGTGTCTGATGCCAAATTCAGCAACTGTTCGTGGTCATCTTTCCAGTCATGTGAAAATGAGTCTATAAGAACAAATGACATGCACATGATGAAGGGGAGAAAGAAAGTTACTTTTTATTTATTTATTTTTAAAGATTTTATTTATTTATTCATGAGAGACAGAGAGAGAGAGAGGCAGAGGGAGAAGCAGGCTCCCAAGGAGCAGGGAGCCTGATGCGGGACTCGATCCCAGGACCCTGGGACCATGACCTGAGCCAAAGGCAGACGCTTAACCATCTGAGCCACCCAGGCACGCAGAAAGTTACTTTTGAAAGTGCTTTTTGGTTCTGGTTGTTTCCAAGTTTTAAATTATATTCTGGATGCAGATGGAGTTAATTGAGAAATTTTGCATTAGTATTTTCTTTGAAAAAATTTAAAAGGCTAGGGTGTTGATTGACCTAACCTGTTCTTTCTTGTGTATAACACTACTCAAATGTAGACGTTTAATATGTGCTTTTTGATGATGAAGATGATGAATATTCCACCTGCAGAAAGGAAGGTTAGAAACTTTCCGCTTAAAGCACGCTCTAATATCAAGCAAGAAAACAAAAGTGGTAGCGATGAGAAGTGATCAACTCTGAGAAGACCCACTTGGGCTTTCACATCAATACATCATGATATATATAGCACCAAATTCTTTTCCACACTGCAAAAAAATACACATTCAGAGGCAAGACAGAGGTTAAGATGTTAAATGTTTTAAAATGACTGCCCCCCCCAACTTAAGGTCCATTTCAACCTTTATAGAAATCAAGCTATTCAACACATGCTAATCAAATATAATTATGCAAACTATGTTCTGGGCACTTTAAGAGATACAGAGATGAGTAAGTCAGAGACTCGGTCATTAAGGTGTTCATTAAAGGATGTATTTTTTTAAGTACATAAAAGAAATGACTAAAATACAAACTAGCTGTGATGTTTCTACATGAGTTACAAATAAAGTATAATGGCACCAGGGCTGGAGTAGGAGCTTCTGGTAAAAAAAAAAAAAAAAAGGAGGTGGTTCATATTCAGTTGTAAGAACGAGGAAAAGCTTCATGACTAAGTTAGGCATTTGAGCTGTACCTTGGAGGATGGGAAGGACTGCAAAGGTCAGAGATGGTATGAGGAAGCATCCAGCCTTTGAGGACAGACCAGACAAAAGAATATTTGGCATGAGACTGAAGGACAATGTGCAGCTAATGAAGGCCTGAACTCCTAGGATTGGCAGTAAAACAACAGAATGTCTGTCTCTTAGCATTGCTATTCACTGGATTTGGGAGGTTTGGGGTATGGAATGATCATTTTCAGAAATTTTAAGTTTGAGATGACAGCAGAATATTCCTTTAGGCTGAACAGGAGGCAGCTGAAATGTGGGGCTGGTGTTTGGGGGGCATGTTAAGACTGGAGATGTTAAATTTAGAATGTAAATAAAACCACATTTATGAAAAGCATGAGCATTATTTGCACTGTTCAGAACATGAACCAATGAGGGTCATAAGACTCTGCACTATCATGACTTCCAGTGACCGTGTAAAGAGACTATCAGTATAACCTGAAATTGAAAATCAAACTGAAATGACAGCTCCGTGTTCCTGATATGTTCAATTCACTTAAGTAACAATTAAGTATGAACCCTCATCCTTTGATCTATCGGAAATCCATTCTAAAAACAGATTCCATTCCTCAAGTTTTTGGAAACCTAACATGTGCCCAGTCTTTCCTAGTTCATGGGTTTGGCTCTGCAGGCCACTTCTTATCTTTTATAATTGAGTCTCGGGCTGCTTCCCTCTCCTTTCCTCCAAGCACGGACACAGCTAAGACCAGGCTGATAGCCTAGGGATAACAGAAGGGCATTACCACACAGAAAAGAAAAACCTAAAATTGAATATTAGATGTTACTGCTCCTAAGACATAGACCAAGCTCCCCTCCAAGTCCCTAATGTCTATCTCTTCCTTAGCTTCCCATCCTGATGCTGTGTTCTGCTTACCTCAAACCATCATATTCTCCCAACCTGGAGTTCAGGTCCCTAACTTTCACCCCAGCTCTGGAGAGGGAAGCAGGTCTTTCTCTGCCCTCGTCCAAGGCTGGCTTCCTTTCCTGCCCTAGGATTACTGACAGTGAGAATACTGTTAATTAGCTTGACTATAGTAATCATTTCACTATGTATGTCTGTATATATACAGACATATATATGTGTGTGTGTATACAGACATATACACACACAACACGTTGTACATCTTAAAACTATACAATTTTTTCAAGAGGCGGAAGAGGGAGAGGGAGAGAATCTTAAGCAGGCTCCACACCCCGTGCAGAGCCCCACCTGAGGCTCGATCTCATTCATGACTCTGAGATCATGACCTGAGCTGAAATCCAGAGTCTCACTTTCACTTATGTTTGTAATATGTGTCAATATGTTGGTATCATTGTGCAGCCCTTATCAGATTGTGGACGACAAGAATACACCAAGTAATAGTCTGTGAGGTGTTTACAAATATATAGACTTTTTTCGATAATGATAATACCCTTTCACATCTGGAGATCGGAAGTGGAATAAAATGTGGTTCTAATGCTAGCCTCCCTCGCACGTAAATTTCTCTGGTTAAGTTTATGGCCCAAATCACACTCTAGCGATACTGCAGTAAGAAAAAATTATTTTTCCTCCAAACGATTGAAACTAATCTCACCTTGGACTACTGATCCCAGCATGCAACGCTCCCGTATACCACTGTGTGGGGTGGAGTCATAGAAGGGGCGGCAACGACGGTGGCCTGTGCATTCTGGGCATTGTAGTCTGAGGCCCTGGCCGCCGTCGGGACAATCCACGTGGTGCGTCTGGCGGCACCTTTGGGCAGTGGGTACCCTGCTTCTTCCACCCGGTCCTCGAGATGCGGACCCCGGCGAGGCCGGACCGACGCCGCTGAGCAGGCTGCAGGGAGGCCCGGAGGCAATCCGATCTTTCGCGACGTTTTTGCGACAGCCGTGGCCGTGTTCCGCGAGTCCCCTCCCTCCCTCCTCTGAGGAGGTACCGGCTGTTGTGCGGCGCTGCCTTTCTGTTTGAGTGTATGGGAGAGAGAGTGAGTGAGTGAGTGTGAGCGTGTGTGTGAGAGAGGGTGAGGCGTGAGTGCGAGTGTAAGAGGAGGAGAGCCCGCCGCGGCCGCCCCGCCGCTCCCCGCAGCGGGAGCAGAACGCGCGGCAGGAGCGAGCAGGAGAGCCGGCGCCCCGGGAGCCCGCGGGGACAAGGGCAGAGACGCCGCTCCCCACCCCCAGCTCTCGTCCCTCTGCTCTCCTTCGCCCGGGGGAACCTCCCTGTCCCCCCACCCTCCCGGCCGGCGTCTGCCCCGCCGTCCCCCTGGATGTCCCCGGGGCTCTCGCGGGGCCTTCTGCTCTTGCCGCATCAGTCGGGCTGGTGCTGCGGCCGCCGGGTGTAGAGCGGGCGGGTTCCCGGGGGCTGCGGCTGCCGGTGCTTCCCCGGTCCCCACCCCTGTCCCCCGGCCCCCCGACCCAGCTCCCCGGCCCCGGAGGCTGTGACAATGGACTATGACTTTAAAGTGAAGCTGAGCAGCGAGCGGGAGCGGGTCGAGGACCTGTTTGAATACGAGGGCTGCAAAGTTGGCCGAGGCACTTATGGTCACGTCTACAAAGCCAAGAGGAAAGATGGGTGAGTGTTTGTGTCTGTGCCGGTGTCCGCGCTGGGCGGCGCTCCCGCAGGCCGAGGCAGGTAGCCCGCAGGGAGAGTGGGGCGCCGGCGTGCCGGTCTCCCACTTCCTCGACACCAGCATCTGGCCCTGCCAGCCAGGTTTGGGGAGGAAGTGGCGAACGAGGGATCCAAACCCACACGAAATCCTGCGTGCTGCTGCCTCTGTGTTCTACTTTGGTGGCTAATAGGGAAGAGGAGCTTCTACTCCATGGGCTGTATACTTTTCAAGGGTTTCGGTTATAGATTAAAAAAAAAAATTGTAGTAAAACGTCAGTTTAAATGATTTTCTGGGGGGGCTCAATTTATTATGGTAACCTTCTGGGGTATTTCCTCACGCCTCTCGAGTGACATCCATCAGTCTGGAAGGGAAGCTGTGATCCTTTCCCCCACCAGTTTGTGATTGATTTATTACCAAATTTGGATTTTATTTGGGGGAAAGAAAGCAGCAAGTAAATGTGGTGCTGAAGAGTTCTTCATAGTGATAATCTGTAACATAAATGTAGCAATTGCTATTTAGATATCATTAACCTGTGAGTTTTACGTAGAACAATGGGGGTTTGGTGCAGGGTGGGTGGTGGGGAAAAAGGCAAGGGACAAATAAGGACTATCTTGTTCAGGCCTGTTCCCCCAAAATTTAGTAGTTGGCAGTGAACTGTAAATAGTCTCTTTGCTTTAAATATTTTCCCCTAGAAATAACTTAATTAAGTCTATGACTGGTAATGCTCCCAGTTTAGTTTCTTAAACAGGCAAGTGAAGTGTTCATTTTTTCCTTTGTCAGTAGATGAATGTCGTGTAATATTGACAAAAGAGAAGGCAATTCTTAGTTGAGGGGAAAATATATTTTATTAACTCCTTGTTTTCCTCTTGTAAAAACGTATGTTGTCTCTGTTGCCTTTGACAGTATAGAAAATTGCTGGAAAGATAATTTCAGAGTTTATTATATAATCTTTAGGTTTCAGTGTAAACAAAGTAGGTTTACTTGAATATCACTGTTAATTTGTTAGCTGCTGTTCCAGGTTTAAAATAATTGCTTTTTTTTTTTCCCCCAAATTAGGTAGGAGGGTATGTTCAGAACTATATTAGCACTAAAAAAATGAAACCATTCATAAAGCTGAAGTAAGTTGGGAGGAGCCATATTTATAAATACTTTAATATTCTGGATGTTGGAAAAAAGTGTATATTTATTCAACGTTTTTCTTAGATTTAGTGAGATATCTTTTTAAAATAAAAGGGACTCTTAAAAGAAGATAGTGATTCTAATAAATTTGGTACGTGCATTTCAGTGCTTATATGCAGCAGTTAAAGCAGTACAGATATCTGCAAAAGGTACGGATTTGAAAACTTGATACTCTGTGTGCTGCATGTATTTAAAAGTACTTCTTAGTGAGATGGATAATCTGGTGACATTTGAGAAATCAGCGTCTGGAGATACCTACTGTTGACTCTTACTTATTTTTTCATTGAAGAATTCCGACATATTTTTTAAATTATCCTTCTCATATAATATTTTTCAAAAGCCTTAAACCATCTCCCTTTCCCCCAATATTATGTAATTTGGGGCATATTCAGAAAATCCCCAATCCCATGAGATTAGACATAGTAGTACATTGACTAGTCTGTCATCTGCTTTATAAAATTCTGGTGACTTTAAATTATTTTTAATCTCTCTGAGAGAAGCCAGTTCTATTTTCATAAATTACCAATCTAAGCTAATAAAACATAAGTTTATTAACTTTGATTTTATATTTTATTTTAAAACTATGATACTTTTTATTGGCAAGAGGTACTTTTAACCACATTTTCTATCTCATGGTTAGGTTTTAATTTAGACCAAAAATAATCTTAGAAGAATTATATAATTTAAAAATAGCCAAATGTATAGTATGTGAACGTTTCTTAGTCATTTGTGATAGCTAAAAAAGTAGCATTGCATTTTGGAAAAAAATAACTTTATTTATAATTCTTTGGGCTTGTTTTCCAGCAACCTTTAATGATTTTGTTTATAGGATGAAATTTTAAAAAATAAAAAAGGATCAAATGTCAAGAGAGTTTTAAAATTACTTAAGACAGTTTTTGTTTTCCAGAGGGAATACTTTTGGTTTGGCTTCTTATAACCTCACTCTGGTAAAATACAGCATTGTATTTATGAGGTTCTTTTGATTTTATGTCAGTGAAATGTAATTTAATGCATTTTAGTCCTGGTAAAATAAAATTTGTGGCTGTTTAATCTTTTGTAAAAAGATGATGATGAAATAATTTGTTTCTAGTATTGATTTACTTTCAAATTAAATTATACATTCTGTAACTGAAATTTCAGAGTACTCCAGGAACCCAGACAATAACACCTTCAAAGAGAATCTTGAGATTTACAATAAAATAGGTTTTGTTTAGACATATTTGACTATTAAAATGAACGTATGTAAATGTTGTATCCTTTCAGTTGTTCAGCAAGCATCACAGAACATGAATACATAGTAAAAGAATTTAGACCAGAAGAGTTAGCTTCTTAAATTATTTTTAGGAAATAAAACAGCTCAAAAGGTCTTTGACTTAAAGAATTATTAATATTCTCCTTCTAGTATCCTACACTTATGATAAACTCTGCATTTTAAGGAATGTGGGAAAGGAGGAAATACTTTATTTGAGGCATGATTATATATATGGAAAAAGGACCTTTTATAATTTCAGATTCTAATAGAGTTAAAACATAAATGCACAGTAAATCTTGGAAATAATTTGCTCTCACTGTCACCATAAATGAGATAGAGAGTGTCCTTTGTGTCTGAACACCAAAAGGGTACTCAGGAAGCAAGGAGATTCATTTTCTTTCTGAGTCAGTTGCATTTCCTCTTTGCAGAATTTAGGCAGCCAAACTCATTTTGTTCGAAAGAATGGAAAAGTGCAAGAAGACAGAAAACAATTTGTATTTTTAAATTCTAAACTCTCATTATAGGGAATGGACATTTCTAGAATTTAAAAATCAATTTAGGTAAGAGTTTGATCTCTAAAAAAGAAAAGCAAAAGGAATTCTCTTGAAGTGTTTTTAGTTTGCTGCATTCTATGTTCAGAAGAACAGATAATATATAATTGGGATTGTGTATGTGTTTGTGAGAGAGAGTGAGAAATATAAAGAAAACTTTGTTGGGGCACTTTTGTAGGCAACCCAGAAATTAGTAGGCAGTAATACTGATAATAGCTAAATTTGAGTAAGAACTAAGTCCTCGGTAAAGCCCTTTATATTCATCATTTATTTAATCCTCCCAAGTACCATATCCGAGTACCATATCAGGTCAGTTCTGTTTTTCAGTTTTACAGGTGAGGAAACTGTAAGAAAGGTTAAACTGTTAGAAAGGTTAAATTTGTCCATGGTTATACAACTAATTAAATGTTGGAGCTGCAATTAGGGGGTTACAAAGAGGTCTCTTACTCCAGAGTCCATGCTCTTAACCATTATGCTTCATATAATTAATATATTAAATAAATATAAACTTAGACGTGGAGATTTGGTGTTTTAGTGGGTCATTCAGAAAACATGAATACCTTATCATAGGACTAGGCTTTTCAATTAACTGGTATACTTTTTAAATACATTTCTGAACAGCGCTGTTTTTTTTCAAGTGCAATAAGTGTGTATGTAGATACATGGATATATCTATACAAACACACATATATGTGTATGTCTACAAATATACATACGTGTGTGGAGGGGGAACCAAACTCTAATAAGGCATGTTAAGATACAGTTCTTCATCTAGTGGGAAAAACTCTTAAGTTGGGGAGACTAGAAAACTGAGTTTGAATTCAGACTCAGCCTCCAATTACCAGTATGACCTTGGGTAAGTCACTTGCCTTTTGTAGACCTTGGTTTCCTTATTTGTAAGATTAGAGGGTTTGAGTTGATAATTTTTAAGGTCTTTTCTAGTATTATGATTTCAGAAAGTAAAAATTATGAATATAAAATGTAATACTTTTGCAAGATGAGGTAAACAACCACTAAAACAAATTTTACTTTAGACAGTGATACACTTTTATGTTTCTTAGTGTCATGTCTTAATGTGGGTTCTCCCCAAATGCCTAAAAGAAGTTAGGTCAACTTCCAAAGACTTACCAGCTACTTCACCTGTCTTATACATCATCTTTATCTCTTCAGATGTTGGGATTTATGGGCTAGAGCTTGCTCCCCCTCCTGTGAACCTAAGAATTTGACTTAAAGAATTATTTAAGTGGCTAGCACAAGGGACTTTTCTGATTCAATCTGCATTGGAGCTTTAATTCAGTTTTATTTATTTTTTGTGGTTTTTCAATTTTTTTTTTAAATTTAATTTTATTTTATTATGTTAATCACCATACATTACATCATTAGTTTTTGATGTAGTGTTCCATGATTCATTGTTTGCATATAACACCCAGTGCTCCATTCAATACGTGCCCTCTTTAATACCATCACCAGGCTAACTCATTCCCCCACCCCCCTCCCCTCTAGAACCCTCACTTTGTTTCTCAGAGTCCATAGTCTCTCATGGTTCGTCTCCCCCCCCGTTTCCCCCCCTTCATTTTTCCCTTCCTACTATCTTTTTTTTTTTTTTTTTAACATATAATGTATTATTTGTTTTAGAGGTACAGGTTGCACTACTGGGTATTTACCCCAAAGATACAAATGTAGGGATCCAAAGGGTTACATGCACCCCGATGTTTATAGCAGCAATGTCCACAATAGCCAAACTATGGAAAGAGCCAAGATGTCCATCAACAGATGAATGGGTGAAGAAGATGTGGTATATATATACAATGGAATATTATGTAGCCATCAAAAAAACCCTGAAATCTTGCCATTTGCAACGACGTGGATGGAACTAGAGAGTATTATGCTAAACGAAATAAGTCAATCAGAGAAAGACATGTATCATATGATCTCACTAATATGAGGAATTCATAATCTCAGGAAACAACCTGAGGATTGC